TACAGATTAAAAAAGAGGAAGATATTGCACGTAATCCCATATCTACACAAGAAACCGAAATACCTTCGACACCAGCAGAAATTCTTTATCAATCAATTTTACCCAATCTACCGCAATACATGATTGCCCTGCTTAAAGTTCTGTTAGCCGCGTCACCAACCTCAAAATCGAAAACGGAAAGCATTAACATAATGGCTGATGTACTGCCAAAAAAGATGCCTATTACTGCAACACAATCCACTAAGTTAACCATGGATATGGGACGGCACAAAGAAATCATTGTTAAAGCTGTATCGGCTATTATTCTATTATATTTGAAGCACTTTAAAATAAATCATGTGTATCAGTTCGAATTCATGTCACAACATCTAGTCTTCGCCAATTGCATACCATTGGTGTTAAAATTCTTTAATCAAAATATAACAGAATACGTGGGGATGCAAAACTCTATTCCTTTATTAGATTTTCCTTCCTGTGTGATCGGAGAACAACCCGATTCGTCAGGTGAAAGTTTTGTGTCAGTGTCTGATAAACCCTACTCATGGCGGAACGTGTTTTCGTGCATAAATCTTTTAAGAATATTAAATAAGCTAATTAAATGGAAGCACTCCCGTGTAATGATGCTGGTGGTATTTAAATCTGCACCAATATTGAAAAAAACGCTGAAAGTACGTCATGCGATGATGCAGCTCTACGTTTTAAAGTTATTAAAAATGCAAACTAAATATTTGGGCCGACAGTGGCGTAAGTCGAATATGAAAACTATGAGTGCCATTTATGCAAAAGTACGTCACCGTTTAAATGATGATTGGGCATTCGGAAATGATTTGGAGTCCAGACCGTGGGATTTTCAAGCGGAAGAGTGTACATTGCGTGCTTGTGTGGATCGTTTCAATTTACGACGCTATCCAGAAGATACGCAAAAATGTGGTGCAGGTGGAAATAATGGTGGCAACTCGGCTAATTCAGATAATTCATCTGGAAATACAGGCGCAAATATGGGTGCGGAAGGTAATGGTTTCGCCGCAAATAATGCTGCCAATAGCGCAAACGGACATGCACAACTTACTGAGTACGGAGTTGAGAGTGGCTTTCCCAGCGATGAGATTCTAACACACTCGGACTTTGCTTTCTTTGGTCATTCGGGTTGGTGGGATCGTAAAGTAGAATTAACAGATTACTTTAAAGCAAACTATTCAATGTGGCTAGAGGATGAAGTATATAATAATCAAACAGATTGGGACGCACTCTAAAACTAAGATAATATTAATCGTATTGCAACAAATTAAACGCTTAACTTTTATGGTGAGCGCGTTTTTAAAATTTATGTCTTTTTATGTATAAAAAAATTAAAATTTAATCATTTTATTTCAGTTTCAATATTCAACAAATTGACTACTTTCGTACGCGATTTGTAATAGTTTAGAATTGTAGAGGAAAAATTTCGCTATCGTTAACATTTCTTGATTTTTATTGACTTAGTTTTTATTTTTAATTCATAAAAATTAGAGTTATGAAATTTATAAACTATCATAAAAACTTATAAAACAATAATAATATATTATAGCCAAGCATAAAAATAAAATATGTAATAAATATAGGAGCAATAACATTGAAGAAATTATAAACAATAATATAATTTAACAATATATTTAATATATCAAATATAAAAAAAAAATATGAAAAATCTAACAACTACAATAAAAAAATATAAAATACAGCCGATGCTGCTTTGATAATTATACAATAATTTTAAATAAAACAAATTTCATGTAAGTGACTAGCGTTATATGGAAATATATTTATTGGTTGATAAATTACCTGACTAATAAATATATTTCCTAAAATAGAAAAAAATAAAAGTCCAAAAATATCTCATACTCAGAGTTAAAGTAGTAGTACTGCACATGAAATCATATTTTCCTGGCAATAAATTCAATACCAATAGTTTACAATAGCGTGTCTTGTTTTACTGAAAAAAAAAAATAAAATAAAAAAGATATAGGATGCATGATAATATGTGAGTATGTGTTGTGGAGAACATTATTCAGATACTATATGTGCCTGTTAACATACTCATAACTAATTTCTGTAACTCATCTTAATCATTAGCGCATAATTAATTATAATATATAATTCATAATTAGAATTTAATGTACTAAAATTTTGACATATATTATTAATAAAAATGTTAATTGATATGAAATGTTTTTATAAAAAATAATTACGCACACCTTTCTGTTTAAATTTTCTTATTTGAGAATATAGAATAGTTTAACTAATTTAAGTATTTTACTGCAAAATGTTCAACATTTTGAATTCAATCCTAAACTTAAACTCTGTAGTCATTTTTTAACATTCAAATTAGTGCTTGAAAGCATATTAACCTTTTGAAGCACTTATTTCACATGCCACGGTGATCAGGGTCTCGTAGGTTGTTCAGGGAGTAAAGATAACCAACCGCTATCGAAGCAATATCTACTTAGAGTCCTCCCTCCAAGCCGCATTTCACTATCCCTTTCTTTATATTATGGATACATCGATTGCAAAAAATTTCGCAATAGGACCCCGTTAAATCTTTCAGGAAGAACGAAACCTTTGTTTTGCAACAAGAACTGTCTTGAGATGAGTATATTATTATTATGGAAAGGCTGTGTATGCAGTCAAATCGGTCTTTGGATCCATAGGTTTCTCCAACTTGCTCTTGGTTCTTTTTTTATGCGGAGAGGAGGTTTAAAAATGCCTAATGCATCGTCACTATGTCGTCACAATAGTGGTATGCCCGGTTGACATTTGAAATTTTTTCTATTTGAATTATTTAAACGGTTAGATATTGAAATGTGTTAAAGTGCGATTATTCGATGAGGAGATTAAAAAGTGTCTTGGGCGATTGTTTGATCTTAGAATTTAAACGCAAGAATTGATAAAGCTATCCTCTCATTTACAACTTAATCAACATTCGTCATAATGGTTTTCGAACAAAATGAGATCTTGTTTATTATATATCATATAAGTATGCGAGATCCATATGTTCTCTTAAATAATAACACAACTCGCATTAACAAAATCAAATTTCATATATTGATAATAGAGGTTAAATTTCCGAAGTTATGACAATTAAGTACTAACATTCTATTGCAAATTTTTATAGCGTTCTCGTAAGAGAAGTGTATAATTTCTCGTAACCGTAAATTCCAGATATATTTCGCAAGTATTAATGGATATCTCTCCGATCTTCGTAAAGTTATAGATTAAACATTACTCAATCAACAAAAAGTTTCACAAATTTTAAAAGTCGATAACTTACCTTAATATGCTGATATCTCCACACTTATGTACTAAGAAAGTAGTAGAATGATTAAAGAGTTTCTAAACTGTCTGGAGTATAATTAACCAAGCTACTTAATAACCAACTAATCAAGCTACGAGATATGGAATATCTTGTGGGTGTTGAAAATTTACATATGAAGGTTTAGTTGTTTTTTTTCAAACTTTTTTCGTATATCTTTTACATATCTGGTTTTAAGAGTATAATTTTTGAAACCTAATCCAAAGTTTATATGAAAACATTCAGTTAATAAAAATCTATAATGACTAATGTAAAATAGTCCGAAATATTTTAGGGAAGAGTGGTTTGATCCCACTTCCCCTTGTATGTGCTATTTATATTATATTAATATTATACAATATATGATTCTACATTATTTTCACAGATGAGAATAATCTGATACTGAAACCTCTTTGTTGTTGTTGTAGCTCGTGGGGATCTGCTTGCAAAATACCTTTGGGAGACCCGGCCGTTCTTGCAACTGAAATCTTTAAATCTTATTGTTGAAAATGAAGCCAATTATTACAATCTTAATATTCAACTAAGTTTAACAAATTTTTTTATTTTTTTTAATATATTTATTTTTTAATTCATATAATGAACTTGTTTTTTTTCATATAAATGTTGTGTATGTACATATTTACATAGTATGTGTTAAACTTCCTTTACATAAAGAATTTATTTGTATCAAATAAATAGTTAAAAGTTTTAAACCAGTTAAAAGCTTCTTTTATAACCACGTTAAATTTAAATTTCGTATTTTAATAATAAATAACCCTAACCAAAATAAAACGGAGACCATAAACCATAATTTACTGCTGTTCCATGGGGCATACTTTAGTAATTTGGCCATTACTACAGCCTGGAATGCCAAGTAATTTATGAGGAGGTGGACAAGCCACGTCACAGCGTTCTTCGAAATAAGACATAATCCTCTCTAACACATATTTGAAGATTCTTTCTTTACTGATTTCACCATTCAAGCATATTATATCTTTCCTATCGCGGAAAGCTGCAAAATTCTTCTCGTAATACGGCCAAACACACATTTCAAAATAGCCCGTAACATCTGGTGGATCATAAGTGCGTTTGCGACGACGTTCATAACACTTTTCATATGGTAAATGAAAATGAAATTTCAAATTACATAACGTCAGCAATTCCGGTTGATTGAATATCATGAAACCCTCAAGAATCAAAATATTTATTTTATTATCTCGTGCCTGTGACAAGTGCGTACTTACACGCATTATGTGCGTCGGATGATGATTTAAGATTTGATTGTAGTGATGCGTTTGATAGTGATGTGTTTGTGGTGCATAATGTTCAAAATTATTAGATATACCCACATCCTTAATGTAGTCGATATTGTTTATTGGATCAGTAGCCAAATATCGGCCCTTCATAGTCCAAGTTATATCCGATAACATTTGTTTCATATCCAACGAAGTGATTACTTCAAAGTTAATGCAATTCAGTTTCTCAATCCATTTATGACGTAGATCATCGACAGGTAAGAAATAGTCATCTTGTGATAGTAACTGCACATCACAAATAACATATGGTGTGTTCCAAAGCTGTATATTACGTTGACTTTGAAAATAATCACGTAGACTATGCGCTAAAGTCGTTTTGCCACCACAGGTGACGCCAGAGACACCAATTACTAACCACTGTGGCATGTTCGTTTTAATTATTGATATACAATAAACTAATCCTCCACTTTACTTTGAGTTCATATGAGAGTCTAATTTATTATTATAAAATTTTGATTTTATTTCGTGATAAACTTCCTACTTTGCTTGACCTTTTGGAACTGAATTTAGTTTTTGCCAATCTCTCTCTCTCTCTTATCTCTTCTGGAAGTATTGCAAAATAATTTGAGGTGGTTTTTTTTCTGTTAATTGAATAGTGTTTTAAATTGTTTTTGATTTCACATAAGTCCACATATGGTAAAGTGTAAATATTGCTATGCCTCCAAGGAAGATTACACCGAAAACAGCGGGCACAATGAATGCGTACTCAAGCGGTGGAAAAAACGAATGTAACAGATTTTCTACAAAGAAAAATGAAAAATGGAATTATAGTTATTTCTTCAGTTGTGCTTAATCAACATTAATTAAAGCACAAAAGTAAGCCGACATATTATAATTGAATACGAAAAATATCATACAATTCACTGCATTATATATATATGTAGAATATATATATTGGGTGTACATATGCAACGCTATAATAAAAAGTTTTCTTAACATTTACAATGCCTAGTAAATATTTATATTTATTATTACTTATTTATTTTTTTATATTTTATTGCTTTCTCATCTTATTTTTGTTTATATTGAAGATAGTATGACAAAAAATATTCTATAAGTGATATAAATAATGTATAAAGTATAGGTCAGTAAGCCTAGTCTTAGTCAATTTTTAGAAAAGTTTAGAATTGGTTTCCGAGTATTGGAATCCATTACATTTATTCACATTACATTTGCAGTTACAATTATAAAATATTTAATAACATTTTAGATTACAATGCGATTGTCAAGTATTTAGAATTAACAATATAAACTGGTAACAGGCAAGAATAATTACTGAGGAAATGTTGTTGTTGTTGTTGCTGGGATTATGAAGAACCTCTAGGGGATAGTGAACGGTACTTGGTTATCGAAATTGACGAACCAGGTTGTTCTTGAAACCATTAAGAAAATAATATTCTCCGCTTTCAAAATATTAAGATTTCTTGATTATAATTCTCAACGCAGCAAAATCTTCAACTTTAAATATTAAAAAGTTAAATTAAAACAGTGCTCGATTTGCTTATAACAGCTAATTAAAATTTAGTGCTTTGAGTTGAGTTTCTATTTTTACAGGTGTTTTGTGACTAAAAAATCAAGATCTTGAAATAATGTCTGTAAATCTAAAAACTTTTTATTGTTACAAGTAATAACTAATTAGATAGAATTACTTTTGAAAAGCCTCACCATCTGTTAACCCATTTAGTATTAGAAAACTAATTAACTTGAGCTGTTCCGAAATCCGTAACATTATCTCATTCTTAACTGAGCAGTGCCTAAAAGACCGATAAGCTTGGCAATTGATTTTTAAACGATAATTTTTGTAATGAATTTCTTTAGAAATTTTATGAATAAATATAATAATTTTTATAAATATTTTTGTTTTTATTTATTACTTTTGAAGCATACATTATGATCTAATTTTCTGAAGAGTATTTCTGAACATAACTTAATTGTCTACTACTGATTAATGGCTCCAAAAGCCTGCTCTGTGTGCCGAACTCAGATTCGATTAACATTTTTTTCTGTTCCTTTTATTTTTATTCCTCATTTTTATATAACCTTCCCTATTCTATCCCATTGTGCAATGCTTTGCCTAATGATAATGGTTTATGGATTAGGCTAAAGCTAGGGCCTTTATGTACTGCGACCAGATTGATCTATTATGCACATGCCTTGTCTAACTTTAATGTGCTTGATTTCAGGTCAATGTTCGGTTACAATAACATTAACATGTTAAAGGTATATTCTCTCTTCCCTTTGGTAATTGGAAATCTCAATTTTTAGACCGATCCTGAAATTATCTGGTTACCATTGATGAATCTAGGTTTCTCCACCTCGACTTAGGTAAGCTTCAATTAAAATTCTATTTATTCAATATCCACTCTTGCTCACAAACATTCCTCTTTTCCTTAACATTTGCTTTACCTAATCATATTCTAAACCATGTATTTGTAATTTTCGTGTTGTCTATCATATAGATCTCCACAACCTACTACAGTAACAACAATGTGTTGTTGTTGTTGTATCTCACCGGGATCTGAAAGCAGGATCTGAAACATGTAAGGATTACAAGACGAATACATGGGTAAGGTAGTGGATAGTTGGGGTTAGAGTTAACAACAACGTGTCAAACGTACTCGTCTTTTTAATCGACCAACTAGGACTGAAAAAGCATAACTTATTTTAGGTTAAAATAAGAGTTACAATAACAACTATTGTTTGTTAATTCTGTTAAGCAATAGATGCGAGATATCTATTAAATACAAATCCACCTAAGACCATTCTTGCTTATAAACATTCCCTTTTTACTTACCACTTGCTTTACCTGTCCATATTCTAAGCTATATATTTGTAATTCTTTTCATATTGTCTGTCATTACTTTTAACCACGCAATACTACAGCAAGGACAACAATGTATCAAACCTACTCATGTTTTTAGACGACAAACTGGGACTGCAAAAATATAACTTATTTTAGGTTAAAATAAGAGTTACAATAACAACTATTGTTTGTTAATTTTCTTAACCAATGGAAGAGAGATATTTATTAAATACAAATTCGCCTAAGTGGTCTGTATCTCCTACGAGATAGACTAATAACTAATATTTAAATATGAATAATATATAAATTTTAATCGCAGTATTTATAAATTGTTCAATTTGTGGATTTTGTTTTTGTTTCAAATTGTCATATAGGAATATTTGAGAAATGTATTCCATAAACAAATATTTAAAGTAGGGAAGGGAAGTTACTTTTATGTTCTGATCAGTACCAACGTATGGATCCACTTGCTTGCAATGTTTAATCTAAATCGATGGCTTTCTATAAAAATTCCTTGACACTGCCAAAATCATAATCTTAACGTAACAGAAAAAAAAAATAAAAACGTTAATTATTTTAATAAGTTTAAATTAAATGTTATTCTAGCAGCTGCACTTACCTTCATCAATCAGCATAAATGGCAATATTGATACCCAAAAGAAATAATACAAAAATACTGACACTGAAATAGCAAGCACGATTTTTCCAACATGTGCATTAGAAGCCATAAATTCCAAATAAAAAATGCGTAGGTGAAATCGATCTAAACGTTAATAAATAAAGTAAATGTTAGAGTTTTACGTGCCGAAAGCGTAAATTGCGTTGCGCAAAATAATGCAAAATGTTTACAGATAAAAACTTGTAATGACATTGAGGTTAATTAAAATCAAAACAAGCAGAACACCGCAAAGGCGAAATCAAGATAAAACAGGTGGAACACATGTCACTCCTTTGGCACTTACCAAACTCAAAAGAACAAAATGGAAATTATGTAAAAAGGGATGCGTAACCACTTTTAATTATAAAATTGATTCACTTCGACTTTTCACTTATTTTGCAATCCACGAAGTTTTAAAAGTAATAAATTGATTTAATTATAATTAACAATTAGAACTTGTTTTTATTTTTTGTTGTTTTTTTCTTTTAACAGTACAGTAAATCAATACCTTTTATTTTTACTTAATATTGTAAACAAATGATTGCGCTCACGCTGCTGTTAAGAGTGTTGCCACATTGTGAACTTTGTGAGAGAAATATTTATTGCTTGAATTGCGTTTGGAATTTAGTTTACGTTTTAAACGTTATTAAAAAGTTAATATATGTTTTTAAAAATTTTTGTCAGTTTTTCTATGGCTAACTGTAATTAAAAATAATTTATTTATACTAAAACATTTAAAAAAATTAATTATATTAATATATATTAATATCAAACATTTATAAAAATGCTGAGAAAGTTCATGAGTTGTCTATAGAGTTGGGGCTTCACAATCTAAACGTACAATTAAACCACAGTAACTGGTTATGGTTGTGTTATTCAGACAGTGTTGGTCACGTCAAATGTGAAATTCTTGTTTTTGTTGATTTAAAGAGTCAGTTAGCCGAGACACACTGAAATAAACAAAAGTGGCGAAAGTTGTGCATTTTATTTTGGCTTAAGTTCTGATTTACCAACTAAAGGCTCAAGGCTCAGTTAGTCGGTACGTACTGTAATCTGTGTAATTGACAGCAACGTAATAATCAAAAGCGGCGAATTTTGTTTATTTCGCCTTGGTTTAAATTCGTTTAAGTTCTTACGGTTTAACAGTCCTTATACGGCGTTTACATTGGCCGAAAATGGCTCATTTTGGTCAAAAATCGAAAATGAGTATCGAATGGCTCATTCTTGCATATAAAATTTCAAGCACAAAAATGAGCAATTTTCTCACATTCTGTATGAATGACGTTCGAATGCATTCCACATACGTTCCAAATGCAAAGGAATCCATTGAACATACCCTAAATGAAAGCTCTTCATGGCATTTTGACAGTTTGAAAAAGCTGTTTTTAACATATTTACAAAAAAAGGTAAACAAATGTTTGGTGGTTGCATTTTCTTGAAAACGATGCACTGCTTTTTAGAACTTTTACTTCCCAAAAAGTAATTAATCGAAGTTAAAAATATGTTTTAAGTTTCTAATGTAAGGTTTGAAGGCATATTTAACCTTCATGCAACATTTTTTTGGCACAGGCCAAAAATCAAATCAACATGCAAGTTGAAAAATCAGCTGTTGAAATGAGAACAAATGAAATAGAACGAATGTAAACACTTTCAAATGGCTCATTCAAAATGAGCCATTTTCGGCCAATGTAAACGCCATATTAAATTCAAAATTGAAGAACCAGAGAAAGAGAGAAACTATTAGAATTTAGTTACGGTCATCATAGTTTTGTCATATTGGTAAAAACAGAGCTGTTTATGACGTTTTCGATTGGTAAATTTGAGGTAAGTTTTTTAATCGCGATTCATTTTTATCTCTATTATCATCTTCGATTGGTAAATCTTAATTAATTTTTTTATTAATTTTAAGATTAATTTATAAATCTCTATATATTTTTAGATTTGTCTGAAATTAATAGCTGTTTTATATGATTTGACAAATAAAGTGTAGTTTTATTCAATTTATATATTTATGAAAATTATAAATATCTACTAGCGCTACCACGAAGCTGTTGTATTATATTAAGAATTTTTTGATTTGCAACAAGATTTGACAAATCGAGAGTAAATCAAGATTGAATTTAGATTTACCAATCAAAAAAACCATCAGTAAAATTATATCAAAATTTGTACCTATTAGAAGTGAATGTGTGTATTTATGTATGGATATGTAAAAATATCCACATAAAAATAATTATCTTTCCAATCGATTGAAAGATACTTCCCTTTGAAAGAGCGAAATCGAAAATTATGACTTCACTTTCTGTACAATATGCCTTTTGATCATGACCAAACCGTATTTATGTCGAACATCTTTAACGAAATTCTCATTTTTGTCAATGTAAATTTAAAAATCTAGAATAAGAAAAATAGAGAAATTTCGTTTCGAGTTTGTTCTGTTATGAGTAAATATCATTGGCTCATTGCGATGTTCATCTAAATTCTATATGCAGATGCTTAACTTGCGATATGCGATAGTAACCGGTTGAAATTCGCAGGGTTGCATTTTGGCACGATTTTTATGAAAGGGTTAAGTTATGGATTTATTTTTAATTGAAGAAGTAAAACACTGGTTAAAGATTTTGTTGGTGGTAAGCACGGTTGCCACTTATGGTACTTTAGTACCAAAATTGGTACTTTTTTTTCCGTTTGGTACTCTGGTACTCATGTTCAAAAAATGGTACATTTTCGGCGACCCCAACTTTATGTGGACTATTGTGATTGTTTTATACTTTTTGTACACTTTATATAAATTGTATTTTCTTATAAAAAGACAATAGAAAAATGTTGGACCTTTTTTTACAGAAATGGTACCTTTTTAAACCAATTTTGGTACAGAAAAAAATTTTCAAGTGGCAACCGTGGTGGTAAGTGAATGTTGTTATCAACAGTGAATGAGTTCAAAAGGTATAAGTTAGAGTTGATTTTGTTGTACAATATTCTAACAATTCATTCTAACGTTATGATGGTGGTGTTCTCCCTCGGGATGGTTAGAAAATTTGGACATATATTGAAGAGTATTGATGAAGAAATACTGCTTAGGCCAACACTTCGTTTTAACTTTCTCGATTTTCTCTAAAGTCGATAGAAGATTATCTGTCCATTATATATTTGCAAATCCATCGTTTTGAGGAGGCAAAAAGAAATGTGTGCACCAAGTTATTTATGGTGGTGCTATGGGATGCGGCAAAAAACTACTAGCATCGTGTGTTTACAAGGTTATCTTTTGTTAAGCCAATTCAAGATTTAAGATGTAATTGAAGATTTAAGATGTAGTTTTAAAGTCAATGACTCTAGAACTCTCCAGCTTTTTTGCCTGACTTTAACGGAGGGTTTATTTTTCATTCTTCTATCATTTAGGGATGGTTTTACACTAGTCGGTTGTATACTTCATTTAGTATTAAATTGCAAAATCATTACTTTGGAATGGCCATAGCAAGCCTTCTTTTATCTCTTTATGGTATTGGAAAACCCAAAAAATGGCGAATATTATAACACCAGAGATAAAAACTGAAGGTCGTGGACAGGCTAGAGTCTCGGAGACAGATAAATTTATTTACTGATTTTTATGTTGTTTACGTTCTTAGCTATGAAATTTTTTAATCTTATGACTATTGCTGGTCCAAAAATTGGTCACTCCTTGCAAAACACATTGAACATTTTTGTCATTACAGCGAGATGTGGTATGCACATCAACACTTTTGGTTCGCTTGTAATTGATATTTACAATCTTATTAATACTCGAATATTTGGTTATTGGAAAAATATATTAATGCTCGTTCAATATTCTTTCTAAATTTTGAATAATAATGTCGAATATTATTCTTTTTGGGGAGAAAAAGTAATGGGTTCATAATATTAATCAAGAATGAATTAATCACATTCTTGCACATTAGATCATTCTAAATGTTCCAATATGTTTGAAGCTTTTTGAGGTACGCATATAGTACAACAAATGTGCTATATATTTCATTTTCGTTTTGTATAATATAAAAACGTATAATAGCGGGTTTTTCCGCGGGTTGCTTTGATCAAACCAAATACTCAAGCACAACTAAATATCGAAATACTTGCTCAGTTCTACTAAATACTTTTCTTTAAAATTTTACGGTTAAATTTTAATTTAATATTCAAATCAGTTATTTTTTTTTATTGTTTTGCAGTAGAAAATTATAGTGAAAAAATGGGTAATTTTTTTACTGAATAACGAAAAATGTTATTGAACCTGATGCTTTGGAAATTTGCTAACATAAAAGCTTTCACAAGAATATAAACGACTATTATACTGAAAAAATGCCAAGAGAAGATTATGTGCAAACTATCGTAATGGTGCCAGATAGATGGTGCAAAAGCACCCAAGGAAAATGAACAGCTAGACTGAAACCTGATATAATCAGAAAATGATGATCGGAGATGGATATTGTTCCAAGTATCTGTACGGTATGGAAAAGGCACATCTACTCGGTTGCATTTATGGCGATGGAGACTGTGACGACGCAGAGCGTGCCTTCTTTTACTGTAATAGATGTCTCGTAATTAGAGAAGAGATAATAATCCGCATTTGATCAATAAATCCTGAGAACATAGTAAAAATAGATGAGAGCGAACCGAGAGAACTGGCGAATTAAAGAATCATATGTAATTCAAATTCTTAAAGCGAAGAAATTAGACCTAGAAATGAGAAGCAGAAACTAGGGAAATAATTAGGGCAGACACCTCAAAATGTGTTAAAAATGTAAAGGTCTGGAAGCATTACAAACAGTGCTTACATGACCGACCAGTTCGGTTTCGACAATTTTCATGATTTTATCGACATATTCGATCATTTTTCTTCCAGTATTGCGTGGTGCATATTTGACATCGAAATCATCGGACAATAAACACTATTCATATTTTCAGCCGTCTGGCTTTCGTTTTCGCGTTTATCAAAGAAAAACTGTAAAATATGGCAAATTTTCTCTTTGCTAGTGTCCATCTTTGTCACGCGTCCAAACAAAACTGTGACAACCAATTATCAAACTGTGAAAAAATTTTTTTATTATGAAATCTCATCTAAACTAAAGCCATCTATTGAGATAATAATGGATTTATTTTTACTACACCCAATATAAATATAATAGGGAGTCGGGCACACCATTCCAATGATGGTCGGACGGATTGACGGTGCATAAAGCATTCCACCTCCTATCAGAAAAAAACAAAAAAGATCACCAAGCACAAAGTTACTACATTACCAAGCTCGGTATCCATACCTCTGTTATCTTTGATAGAGCGGCGAATTTCATTTCAATAGCAAATACAAGAGAGTAAAAAAGAAAAATTCTTTGAAATTAGAATGTCGCTTAAAGAAGGCAGCAACGATCTCCAAGGAATGTTACGGATACTAGTAATATCATGCGATAAAAACAAATGACGAAGCAATATTTCTGGAATTAATCATAGAGTTTGCTTTAATATTTTTTCATATTAAAATGAAATAATATATTTTTTTTTAATACTTGGAATACTTAATACTTAATTTGCACATAATCATCTTCAATGAAATATTCAAGAAAGAAAACCATTAAAAGATTTTTGCCCTCAAATTATTTCTTTTCGGTCAAAGTACG